TTGCTTGCTCGCTCGCTCGTGGGCGTCTGGTCCATCCATAGTCAGTTTGAGTCGGCGTGACGCAACCTATAGCCGTCCAACATTTAAATTTTCGCGCCGTCACCGCTGATAAATGTATAACTTGGCTACGCGACGTCAACAAGTTATGTATATTTTATCGATATTTACTTATATCTACGTAAGGCTCGTGATCGCTGGAGCTAAAATCTGTATCAAACGGACGCATAGTATCGAATACGACAAACTGTAGTTGGTTTTTTTTTTTTTTTTTTCGTAAAACCAAAAAAAGTCTATCGTTACGGCAAGCAGACGGAACTATTGGTGCCAATCCTGATGTGTCAATCATAAATATGTAGAAGCTATAGTATGTGCGTTGTTGCCCGCTTACCTACTACGAACAGCATATAATCCTGAGAGCGAAAATGCGGATAATTCTCCAATCGTAAACGAAAACTGTGATCAGGATATCAACTGTAACATCGTGGGCGGCCAAGGGCGGCCAATAAAACATGAACCAATCGTTCCTGAAATTTTGCGTGATGTTATACCAGATTACGCAATAACCAATAAATATTTTAGTTGGCAACCAGTAGAAAGCTTAGGAAAAAAGCAATACATTTCGGAAGATGAACTTTGGTCACGGTGTCTTTTGCTAAGACAATTATACAATTACAGCAGAACTAAGTATGCTCACGTGCGGCATCCACGCCGTTATTCAGCTGCAAAGTTGTTATATTACGTATATTTACTGATTACGCTCTGTGTATACTGAAATCTAGTTTTTCTTAATAGGAAATGACATAAATAAGCCCAGAATTGCCAAAATAAGAGCTATTTTTCTCGTGTAGATTAAAAGTACAATAGGGGAAATGAATAGTGCATTTTCAATAGAATATTTCGCAGTCTCGGGCTCAGTTGCACATTCCAATAGGCACAATCTATTTTAGCTCACGATAGCAACGTAATGGTGTATAATGGGGCTACATACTTTCCTCTAACTAGGAGAGTTTTATATTATCAAACCTTCAACATTTTAGAGATCTATACGAAATATGAATTTAAAGCAATTAGAATCACCAGTTTTTCCGATCATATTTTAAAAGGTAGAGCCATTTGGATAAAGATTATTATACATTTCATTCAGGGTTTCTTGAACTATAGAGCAATACAACGGCATTATCTTTGCATTCAATCAATTTTTCTACTACGATCTTGCTAATTCCTGAGCTGCTTTTTTCGAGATCGGCTGAAGATAATTGTTCCAAATAAATATTACTAAACTCAGTCGTACTATATGACTCTTCAGGAAACGATACGGGTCCCTGTGCTTCCGATATCTAGGAGTAAATATGGTCGATTGCTATTTTGACAAAGAAAATTAAAAATCAACTTATTTGAAAGTAGAGTTCAGCCCAGTGGGTATATATATTCGGTTGGATAATAAGTTCCCGCGATTTTTTTCACTGAATAGAAACTACACAGTTTTTTTTATTTCTGCTGCAGTAAGTTAATATATCATGTATCCTTTATCATCGTTTACGACTTAGATAAAAGTCTGTCTGTCTGTCCATCAAATGGTGTATGCTATCTAGCCAGAAGATAACAGGTTTCCTAAAAAGGTTTTCCAACCTTGTTCTAAGAGTTGTTGATACGAATCAAAGGCAAGGCCGCGAAGGTGATTGCAAGTGAGTGGAAAAGACAGAATCCGTCGGCGTAAGGTCTGGCCAAAGAAGATATGGGCAGTACAAGAAAACCTCCCATTCGGAGCTCCAGAGCACAGCTTTGACAATGTTTGCCGTGTGTGACCTTGCATTGTCATGGAGCAGGATAAGCTGACTTTGTTTGTCCTGTTTCTCGAATAGCCTGGTTGATTTGATGCAACTGAGCCGAATAAACGCGCCAACCTACTTTGTGGTTTGTAGGAAAAGATGTTTATTTAGTGATCTTTTCGCAAACCCACCAAGCGCAAACGATAATCTTTTTTTGATGAAGATAAGGTCGGACCATGGACTTCATCTTCTTTCCTGGAGCCATTCATTTCACTCCCTGGCTTACGTTGCCTTAAGTTTCTGTGTACATTTAAGGAACTTATTGTGTAATGGCTGTGGCTACAGCCTATCTTTTCGGCCAATCTCTGAATTGTTTTCCAACCCTCCGTCTTCCTTCGAAAGTGTCTTCAGAAAATCGTCAGGGTAGCATTGTCTAAACCGCGGGTACTACTCTTGCCAGGCCGCCCATGAGAAGTCTTTTTAGTGACGACGTTGCACTTTCATTATCCGTCTGGAACTTTTATCTTTGAAAAGTTCGTTCAAGTTGAAATGGCAACGTTCATCGCTTTAGTTTTCCTCACTTTTTCAACAAAATATAACTTCCTTTTGAACCATCTAACATCCAGCATCCCGCTGCCTCAGTTTGGTCGAGATCTATGGTGAGCGAATCATAATTTTTAAGCTACGCAACTAAAGTAAATATATGGTTCGAGCTTTTCATGACGATAAAATTACCGTTTTCGACGGCCGGCCCCTACTATAAGATGAAGTGCGTCTATATCCGCTTCCAAACCCTGGTATTGAATCATTATAAAATGTTGTTTTGTTTAGCTAGTGTCGCACCTTTTTTTAAGCAAATGTTTTCCCTTTAGTGTTGGCCAATGACTGGTTTCATCTCGCTAAATATCGACCACCTCTAGCCTAAATGACCCCGTCTTATAATGCCATACGGACGAAAATCTAGGTTTCTATATTTAGTATTTTCTCGAGCAGATCAGTCTCTTTTAGATTACAATATTTACGAACCCGTGGGCTTTTTTTCTGTTGGAAAACGGTTGTTTTCGTTAATCACCCCGTTAATCATCATTGTTGCCCCGTATAGTCCCTCCGTAAACATATTTTGTCAACTGGCCGACTTCGAGACAAATCGCCAATTTCAACATTTCCCTCTTGCCTCGCATACGCGTTCCCCTTAGGAAAAAGGTGACATTTATTCCAGCAATTCTTCCGTAGTGACTATTTTTATCCCTTAATCAGAGGCATAAAATCCATCGGCTTATCCCAAATTTTACCATAGTAATATAAAAATTTGCAGTTGATTCTAGCTTAGCAAAAAATTCAGATACAGAATACCCTATTAATTTGTTTTTACTGTGGTATATTCCGCAAAAAAAATGGGATTTAAAAAAATCATGGTAGAAATACATGGGATAATGCAGGTTTTGCTTCTAGAAGCCAGAACGCCGTCATACCATTCTGATTTGTAACCAATCTGAAATACTGATTTCACGTAACGTGGCCCATTTCACGTAACATTACGTAACATGGGAAAGTACAAAACGGAAGAACGTAATCTGGACTGACGATTAACTCATAGTTGTAAGCGAGTGCATACATTGAAGCAAATTTACTTATTACTCTAACTGAGAACATATTTATGGGAACGTTGTTAGGTAAGAATCGGGTTGAGATGATACATCTTATTGACGTGAGCAGAAATACTGATGATCCAAAAGGTGTACTCTTCATACCCGTCAAGCTGGCCAACAGCGGCCGATATATGTGTTTATGAATAGGTTTAAACGGAGGTAAATTATTAGCAACTGCCATATAGCCATTACTGAATTTAAATATTCTATAAGTAACATATACCATCTTCCATTACTATCTGCGTCTGTTAAGTGTCAGTAGTAATTTAAACAGCTTAAGGCACAGTCCTTAGGGAAGATACTGAATACAACAAATCTACCAAATGCACATCCGTTCATCCGTTAAAAGCATCATAAACCTCACTTTTCACAACAACCATTCATTTAAAAAAAAAACAAAAAAAAAAAACAGCCTTTTAACGGTAACGATAAAAGTTATTCTTAACCACAGTCACGTATGAATGTTGCAACAGGTAATAAAGAATACGCCGAAATGTCGTAAAGCAAACAATAATACTCAGGCAGAAACTTTAAAATTCTCAGAAAAGGTTATGGCATTATAGGGAAACTATGCCGTGAGCAATGTTCGGTGGTATTTTTTTTACCTTGCCGAGACTTTTTTTATGCGAATACTTATTTTATCATATAGGGGAACTGAACAAAGAAATAAGTTGACGTAATATTCAAGATTATTCTTTAGTGTAGTTATTTATGAGGTACCAGAACTATGAATCGTGACTCCAAAATATCGACTGTTAATATAAATTCCTATTCAAAAACTGATAGGATATTCATGTATTTGGAAAGCGTCAAAGGGATAAAGTTGTATAGGGATCTGGCAAATCCGATTTTGGGATTGCACCGATATCATTATATCTTATTTGACAACGAATAAAACAGGTTCAAAGGTTGTGGGCGACATGACGAACGCACACGGGCGTAAGACAACAATCCTCGTTTCTTGATCCAGCGTTGTTAAGTGGAAGGAATATCCCGCTCTCTGCTCGAGTCTGCAATATAGGTATTGGAAGCTTAAGAGACGACCTCATCCTATATAACCTTCACTAAAATATAAAACAACTTTCTATGGACGCTCGCGTTTGACGTTATAAAAATAAGGTAACAAATTAGAGTATTAAGCATTAGCTTTTAAAAAATATCAAAGTACGCGTATCAAAGCATATCAAAAGGACGCGAAATGTTTAAACTAAATATGTTGTATTGGGCAGAAATAATTACCGATATCGAGCATGATCAATCAGCGGACACTTTTATAGCAGGAGTTTGTTTGCATTGAAGTTGAAGATGCCTGAGATGACATAAGTATTGATGCAGTATGTTTCCTCCGAAAAGTTTGTTAGGAACGGTGTTTCTGAAACCCCCATAAGGTGGGACTATAATTTCTCCATGGCGTTCATGTTTACTGTAGCTGCAGGTGTCGAACGTATTCATGGAAGGGAATCAATATGAGGCAAGTTTTGCATGGATACGTCGACAAACGAAGCTAATATTTGTACTACATTATATCTCAACTATTATTTACCTTATCACAATGCTTCCCATCTTATTTTTTCAATTTCAGAAAATATATATAAAATTACGAAACGTCTTGGTCCTCATTTAGGACCTTTATTGGGAGCAGCAGCAGCAACAGGGATGGGCATCGTGGGCATCGGCATTGTTCATTCGCCGATGTCACCGTTTCCAGTTCCATCATTGCCGCTCCCACCAGTAGGCCAACAACCCGTCGGGCAGGTCCTGTATTACCCTGGTTATAAGGACAAAGTCCCGAAAGGTAAGACTGAGCAAAAATTAGCATCGAAAATTTGCTAGAGTATTTTCGAATATTGATGTTCGCGCTTTGCTAGACAAGCAAGGACCTACGTTTTTAAAAAGACCACACTTTTCTCAGGCTACAGCGCTTTTGCCAAAGATCACTATTTAAACTTTGGAACATCATGATATTACCACGAAATGATAGCGATTGTACAGAATACGTTGATGAATAAAGTTTTTCAATGCAAATTCTGTCAGATGAGAGTCGAAAAGCATAGTACAAAATATTTAGACGTTCAAGCGTCGATTTAAAACACAAATCGAAACAAACAAAACGATATTTGTTGTAGACATGGTGAATTATTGAAGCAGCATTAATTAAATTTGGTTCACAGGTGTTTTTAATTTACAAAAGAGAGCGGGCAAGTTCAGCTACGCGAATGCTGTAGAAATAAGACAGAGAAGAGACTAAGATTCATAAAAGTGAGCTATCATACATAGAACAGTTTTCCCAGGTTGGGTCTTTTACGCTTGCAGGGTATCACCATTTGCCTCCGATCCAACATCCGGCGTACAACAACCTTGAGTATGGCTATTATGGAAATGTGGGTTACTATGGAAAGATAAACAGATACAAACAAATGATGGACGACAGCGCAGACTATGGCAGCGTTAGTGTAAACGACATCGGGTACGATTGGTGATGACACACGATTACAGGTAATGCATAACCTCTGCCAATGTATATGGAAAAGGCAAAAAATTCAAACAACCACTAGCATTCATATTGCTTTATCCCTAGAGCGATAAAATCGGAAGCAACATCATTTAAATTTTTTTTTATCGCTAACATTAACAATTTAAGTAGCACACATTGTTCGTTCCGGTAAACAAAAAAAATTTTACATAAATCAACTTCCTACTCAGTCTAAGGCCGCTTTACATTTTCTGTTACAATTTATAACATTTTTTTAAATGCAGCCCCAAGACTGTTATTTACGCTATTCTAAATTACGAATATGATAGAATCACGCACACCTTATGTTGAGCTATCTACTTTTCCAATGCAAATGAATATTACTCAAGCATCGGGACGTGCTAATTCAGTCGTAGACTATAGTTCAGTGAACGTTGTGAATGGTAATAAAAAAAGGTTTAGTATTTTGCAATATTTTCCCTTTTCTTTTATGTATTCTATGCATAGTATTGAAATTGCATTATAAACTTCCAGAAAAACAAAACTCCAAAGTGAACTGATTACACTTAACAGATGACAAAAAAAAGTGACCCTTATAGGTCAATTACATCGAAGCTCGATTTTCTGCCTCCCTCGCCGGGGGCTTATTTCAACTCGCAGCTTTTTCTGATTATCGTGTCTTTAAATTCACGTAAAATCTGGAGCGCGCTTTTCGAAATAAAAATTCTATGATTATTTTGCTTTAAAGGGGTTATCGTTTAATTTCTATGGTCTGTCATCCTTCCCTGTCTGTCAGCTGCCTGATAAATAAGAAAAGATTAGGAATAATAACAGTATTTATTATATTCTGATTATTGAAGTTTCGACATTGTTCTATAACATAAACTCTAATTGAACATAAGCAAACGCTAGCAACTGAAATAAGATTTCAGAGTATCTATTGGCACTATATTATACTGATTAAGCATATACTACGATATCAATATCGTTATTGAGGTTTTGATTCACTCTAAAGTATCATTGTCCCTATTTACCTTAATGTAAAACAATTTCAAGCCAGTGCTATCTCTGTCAAAAGTGTGCCGTTCTACTTTTACATTGTTATGCGGTGTTTTTGCATTACTAGCTTCATCTTTCTATCTATCGTAAACAGCATGCATGCATGTATATCGTGTCAGAATAAATAAAACCTTTTAAAAATCAGTCACATTACTGTGTATTTCGGTTAAAGGTAGATGACTGAAAACCATGGATCCTACGCACTTCAGCGATTTGCTAGTCTCTCACACAATCCAGCCGCAGCGAAACTTGTATTATCATCATCAGCTAGGTCGACAGTGCGTTCGATGTGTGGAGTGGCGTATTTTCTGTGTGATCAAGCGTGCTCCCCTACGAGTATTGAAATGGGTTGCACTATTGTGAGTATAGAAACGTTTTCTAAAAATTTTGGGATTTCAGTATACCGAAGGGAAGTCGGTTGCAAAAAGTAACATCGGTCTTGCATAGCTATCCTAGTTCCTATTTCGAGTGTTCTAACGCTTTCTTTTTTTTTTCTTTTGCAGATGTGTGCCGAAACTGCAAAGCACAATAACTACTATTAACGAGTCGTGTACAAATAAATGCCCTCCTAGCACCATGTAGATAGTACTTTGTAGCCGAGTGTTTATATTTATATACGAGCTCTGTAGCTGGTACTACACTGCCGTCAAGTCATGTTTCATATAGTCCATTAGAATGTATTGCATATAGATCTATCCGTGTTCTACACGGTATTTTGTGTTGTGTCAGTATGCGTGAGGGTCCACTCCCTCGCTACGAATGCCTTAATATCAAGTGAAAAGGTACTATTGATTACTGTATATTTATTTATGAATGATGAAATCTAAACGTGTTGTGGCCATCACTTTGTTTGAATCGGACTAGCTTATCCTTACTTACTTACTTATATTAGGATTAATCGTAAAGCCCTCGATCGCCGTTTATATTCGCGTTCGCCTGATACTGTGCGCTGGATTTTTTTTTGCAAAAAACACTTTTGCAAACCAATTGTCTACGCTTTGAAAACTAAAAATTCATATCGTCTGCCTTCAGTAGTAAATTTCGCCAAATGCTGCGCCAAGAACTATGAAATTTGTGATTTCAATCGCAAATTTTAGCTAAGCTGAGATGGCTTCGCAAGGACTTCTTCCCGCAGTACTTTCAGGGCTGCTCGCGGCCCTATCGAGCGTTCTGGGAAAGTTGGCCATGGCGCGGGATGACTCCGAACGAGTTTGTATGGGGTCCGTCCAAGCGTGGCTAGGTGACGATCGAGAACCAGTAGAAGCACACTACATATGCGAAAGCGTGAGTAATTTAATAGTAGGGGTGCATTATTTAATGACGATTACATTGTTTTCATTCAATTTAGAATTCTATCAGTGTTTATTAAATCGCTTGTTGTTGCTTCGTCGGCTACACTACTATTCCTGTACGGAACAATAAAAACACAGAGCCCTCTGTATCCCAAATACGTATTGTTATTTTTAAATTATTAGTATTTACAACGGGCAACACTGACGCAATACCGTTGACGGATATACATAATATGAAGTAGTCGACGATAACAGTGATTACAATGAAACATTCGCAGGCGTTAGCGCTAGTGCGAGGGACATTATTCGCGCTGATGATCCTTTCCAACATGGTGATGTGGACCGTCTTTACCCGAGCCCTTCGCTTGAGTACTGCTACCCTAGAGGTGACCGTCGTGAACTTGGCGGCAAACTTCTTTTTCACGGTGAGCTTTATCACGGTCACTAAACTTTGCCCCCATATTGTATTTGCTTCACATGTAGGCTTCTTCATTATTATTATTATTATTATTATATGGGATCCGTAAAATAAACTACGCTATTCTTGTTATTAATGCGACACTGCTTAAAAAAATATGCTGCCATGCTGTTTAACGTAGTAACAGTTGGTTAATATTTTCAACGACATGTTGGAGACGGTACGTTTTATTGTTTTTTTTAATGCTGAATGATCATTATCAGTAATAGCCAACAAGTAAATTTCAAAAAAGTTTTACTCTGTACAAATTATTTTCAACTACCAAGGAGTATGCAAAATATGGTACCATTAGGAAATGAGCGTGATCTAAGGCAACGCTGAAACTCTCATGTTAGCTACTGTGAGCTTGTTTTCACTGATGTTAACCAACTTTTCAGGCCGTAAAGTTTTCTTAGAGCTTTCCATGATTGTTTGTATTTCAGGCTATCTTTGGACAGACACTGTTTTCGGAGCAGCTTACCCCGTTATGGTTCATTGGTTCAGTCTTTATTGTTTTTGGTTTAGCACTGATGCATATCGGCAATCTACGAAGCGAAAAACGACAGACCTCTCTAAAAGAGCGAAGATGCGATAGAACATACCCAGGACCAGAAGAAATCTACGAAAGGCACAAAGCACGAAAGTACAAGGCTAATGTATTTTAAGTCTACTACTGATATTGAGTTCACATGTAATTAATCTGTTAGGATACTATCTTATTTGTAATATACTAATGCATTTTTATATACATAAATAATAACATGTTTATAATGGTTGCTTTATACTTAGGGAACTCATCATCATTCCTTAGTTTTAAGGAAATACGTAATACGTATAAGTTGTACATATGAGCAATGTTGATGTTATGAAAAACTGAAGAGTTTGTCTGTTAATTTCCATTCCGTATTTTCTACTGTAACACAATGTAAGAGAACGAAGTAGTGTTTCCATTAACACTGGTTTTTATCGTTTGTTCAGGACAATAAATTACAGAATAGACCAAATAAATATTGTTTTTAAAATGTATGTAAATATTTTACGTGAGTTTAGTGGCAAGAGTTTTCGTTGTATCTACTTAGCGTTAATAATCATCGTTTCTAAACTGATGACGCAGTTTTGTTTAAAAAAGTGGTGCACTTTCACCCAAAACAGAGATCTGCCTCTTTTATTTTGGCCTTTCTCGTTTCTTTTTCGTTTTTTTTTCTTTTTTCGTTTCTTTCTTTTTCGCCCACCGATTGCCAGCTTATCCAAGTACTACCAGCTCGATGCTAAACACACAAATAAAAGTTGTAGTCATCATAAGAGATCCAACAATGCACATACTGCGTCTTTTCAATGAAAACCGGAAATTACGGTAATTACACTCCCTTTCAAATAAAGACGAAATCTGCCTTTGTTATGCTTTCTCCTTTTCCTACACTAAATACCGTGTAGTATAGATATGTACTTAAAACTATTTCCAGAACACCCCCGAACAAGTTTACTGCTTTGAATTTTGCGCCCGGTAATGCCACTACATATTGCTACAAAGCATGGCTTATTTACTAAAGCCGGCTTTCGAACCTACGCCATTAAGCTCAACACGGTAAAAACTATCTCGCGCATGTAATCTTACTAATTTCACCAGTTGATAATACTGATTGTTGGAGCTAAAATATCCAACCCTTATACATTTGTATCTTAATACCCTATACCTTGAATCAACTAAAATAACGAGAAAACGACAATAGCACGTTATGAACAATCACCGACAGAAGCATACAGGTATTTTGCGCGCTGCGCGGTAAATACAATGCGGTTTTCTACACACTGCTGCACAATCGTCCGTCCATTGTTCTCCTAATACTACGACACTGCATTGACGCTAGCACATACTCCAGACACTTTAGATTGGTACACCTTTGTAAGGGCGTCGCCGGCTTTGCTTTGTCATTGGCTGGCAGGAACGTCTACTGCGCAGGAAGAGTGGCTATTAAGCCTACAGCCGAAGACGTACTTACACTCACAACTTCATCTACAACTAGCTACAATAAGCCACACTTCAAATCCCGCAATCAATACTCTACGAGTCAACTTTCTCATGACATTTCTCTTCACGCTCGAATTTCCCTAATGAAAAAGCTGCATTCCTGTTAACGTTCGGATGGCCCTAATGAAATCGAAAGGCCTTAATGCAGGAGTGAAGCTGTTAGATCTTCCATTGAATTTTGCAGGACTCGCAATGGATCCCTTGTGCTGGTTCGACAAAGTACTTTCGATAGGGGGTCAACAAATTGACCTTCCATCTTCACTACAAGACCCGTGTCGGTGCCACGCACTAAAGGCTGCCTAGTTTATCTACCGAGGTTGATGCATAGGGAGTGGTATTTTTCATGGCGGGCGCGCGACTTAAACAGTCCGCGGCACGGCTTTCAAATCTCACAACGCTGATACAACTAAAGCCTGTCAGCCTGCTTTTCGCTTATCCCTGCCTCCCGCAATCCTGCTTTCTAACCCCGAGCCTTACGCATTGATATGCTCTTTCAAAACGAAAACAGCAAATGGTTGCTCCTACGTTCGGTGGCCTACTAGAAGCGAGTGGTGCAGGCTTCTCAAATATAAACCCGCATCAGTCGAATTAACTCGGTGTAAACCAAGGTGACGGCTATGGCAGAACTTTAAACGTACTGGCCAGACATTTACCAGACTCACACTGAACTGGAATTGGACCTCCATGCTTATCCACCACAGCTCGTTTAATGCTATTCGAAAGCAGTCGCAAAACACCGTTTGGGCTATCCGCTGTCCCTTAAAGGCAAACAATAGTAGAGTTCCTTCTTGAAACGGTTCTACGTAGCCGCGTCCCACATACGCTAGTCTAGCAAAGCAACAAGTACGATGTCATCTGCTCTGCCGGCCACCCGCGATCTTCATCCAGGCGGTAAAACTTCGTCATCCACTTCTTCGACCAGGCATCATCGAACGCCACTCCCAGCAATACCGTCCAACTACCCACAGAATGGGCGAGCCTGCTAATTGTATCCGCAGACTGCTCACCATTGACACAAAAATGAAGCTATTGTCGTTGGCTAGCAGGAATGAGTACTTCATAGCCACTCGCTCTGCGGCTATATATCCGTAGACTTGTATTCAGTCAACATATATATATATATATATATATTCTAACGATAAATGTAGGCCTAACTATGCGCAAGTATTCCATACAAGAGCCAATGTTTGTTTTCCCAAATTCAATTTTGCGTATTTTATCATCTGGTCTTAAAACTGAATTTAGTCAATAACTATGAATGGGATGTGAAGAACTACGATATAGCTTTTATTCGATTTTAACACACTGCATCTGTTAAGGACGAGCGAATGTCGAATGAAGTGCCGTGAAGTCTGACACACTATAGCCCATCAGGAGTTAGGCTAGAATTTCTAATTATATTTCAAAAACATTACCCTTAAGTGCACTTAGCACTTGTCATAAACGATCGCTGTTTGGTTACACTGTAAAAACAATTACACAGTTCGTTCAAAATGTATAGACACAATACGTTTATACAAGAGATATTACAAGAGATAATATTCAATGCATTGATGATACATTAATAGTTTGCAATCTCTAGTGTGTTTCACAACTGCTGTGAAAATGTTCTGCATCGTTGCATGAAGTGATCCTTCGAAATTCCTCGAGATGCTTTGTATACGAGTCAAACAGATACGGCTTCGACCGAAGTCGATCTGTTTGTTTTCCCGTTAAGAGCTTCGAAAGGCTAATGCTCTATGATGCGAGAGACTCCCAAAAGACGTTCTTGGCAAAAAAAGTTTTCAAAAATTCCGGCTATTATTGTAATTATTCCTGTTCTAGTAGCAGGAAAACAATGTTATTACCTTAAAACTTTATTTAAGCGTTATGAATTGCCTTTACGAACTGTCAAATTTACCTTGAAAGCCAGTTTGATAATTGGCACTACGGCCTAACCTAAAATTGATGGGTGAAAAAAATTAATTAATTTTCACCGTACACCTTTTTTTTTTTTGCTATGTTTTTGTCATTGACTGTGTACTGTTTGTTTTACCGCGCTTTACAACCTCCCCAAAGAAAAATCCAATCGAAAGTTGTCCTACACTAGATGCTAGGTCGGTATGTCGCAAAGCTAAGTAAATAGTAGATTTATAAAAACCACTTGCCAGATATTAGGGAACTATGTGGCCATATGCCTACGAAAATTTTCATAGATACGTGTACTTCGACTTTTATTTTTAGAGGAAAAAAAAAAATAGAAAAATCGATTTTCTTTAGAACATTTTTACAATGCTTGAATTTTTGGATAGGTTTATTCCTGTAATCGTCAATAACATAGCCGTTTCTCTTTGTAAACGCGATATAGATAACAGACAAGTCCCGGAGGTTGGCTCCGAGCCAGTCTCAGAATAATACTGAGGAATTTTTCAGTTGCAGTTGTATATAATAATAGTTCGGAGGCTCGACAGAGCACGAAAAACAGATGTCGATTACATTGTTCTGACGATAGCTCACACTTTGAGAGTGTCTCCTCAAACAGAATTTTTTAAACGAGCAGTTAACCCTTGCTAAACGCTTAACTTAGATAGTTTACCGGGAGGAATATTCATCAAGGCTGTTTGGACATAATCGAAGCATCGATTCATGACAACTGCGTGTACCGGTAAGTTAAAATATTAAGTTGAATTCCATAGTAGCTTAAAACTGCACGGAGAAATCTCATATTTTTCCAACGTGGGTTCTCAAGGGCATTATAGTAATTACGGGAAGACGGCGTAAAAACGCCAATCACTCTTTTAGCAAGTACATTTGTTAATTGGTAACTGCGATATCATTAGGTAACGAAATAAATTTACGAAAGCTATAATATATCTGTTGTCTTAGACAGCGCTACTTCTTTGATATTTTTTGTAGACCGGTAGTTTCATATTAAAATGTGCCTCGCCTTTGATTCTGGCGAGTATTTTTTGGCGGAACTATTACACTAATTATAATACTAACTGAAGCAAAATCGACTCTGTTGAGCGACCCACTCACTAACTAATGCGGATTTCTAAAAAGATCGTGTTGAAAAATTGTTCGGGTTCTGAGTTCAATTTATTAGGGACAACAATTGAATTGTGAAAATTCAATTTTGTCCCTAATAGATCCTATTCTTGCAGTTGTCATGTATTCAGGTTCAGAACGCTATTAATTGTGCTAAACACATGAGAAGTTTGCTATAAAGAATAGAGATTATATAGCTATTGGGCTAGAGCACTGGTTGTCTAGGGCGTCAAACGTAGATTGGCGTCACATATGGGGCCGTAGTATAATATACTGTATGCATGCGAAGTAACGCTGGTTTGGACATATATTAAAAATTAAAACTAAAAATCAATTCTATACTCTGGGGGTAGGATGCATCCAGTGTGGCAGTAGATCAATGACAAATTTCGCAAAGGGCAATCAGAAGAGAAAAATATGATAATTTGTACAAAGTTACGAATACTGAGCATCATTTATTCCCATAGATTGTACAATACACGTGGAATAGTAATTAAAACCTTGCGATAGAACAACGGTATTACTGCAACAAGATAACAGGATTAGTGTAGCAGGACGACTGTGACAGGAGTAACATGTTAGTCTAGATGCAAGCAGGGCACTAGGATAACTATATAGCAAAGCACTACGCACTAAAATAACGGACGAACTAAATCAAATTGCTTGAAACGGATAACTTCAACGGGATAGCGTATATATAACACAATAGAATCTGCAATCTGACTATAGCTGGTGTAAAATGGGTGTAAAAACAATCAAATGAGAGTAAGTACCAATATGGTTATTTAACCACTTCAGTGAAGCTACTAAGTAACTGCAAGAGAAGCAAGCGGAGCCAGATGACTCACTCGAGTGACCGAACTGTGACTTTGCTATGTCAAATCCAGTTAGGTTAATGGCAAAACGGGGGTGGGGCGGAGCGGAGGTCGCCAGTTAATCTAGTATGTAATATTACCATAAGCTCATTGAAAGATTTATTTTTACAATTTGTTAAAGCTAGCCCAAAGATTAGCTTTTTAAATACGTCTTTAATATCAGATGAATTTTAAAATCGCGGAATTCGTTTATGATATTTTCGTCCAAGGACATCAAACCGCTCCATGGTCGGGTACTTCAGTTGCATTGAAGGTCATTTTCGAATTTGTATGACGAATTGTCTCCCGAATGTCTCCCGTTAAATATTTGGTAGCATCGAAAGTCCATGGAACTAACCCGTATATCATTATCATTACATATAGATGTATTTAACCCTAATTTCGAATGA